TTTAAAAACTTAAGAACTTATGGCTTTATGTAGGTATGTTAGTCAAAATGTGACTAGGCACCTTGAAAAAAAAATTGTTTTTAAATGAAGTTGTGGAATTTACTGAGTTTGAGAACTGTGTAGAAGGTTGCTGTTAATTTTTGGGGGTGGGGGGGGTTGATATTTAACATCTTACGCAGAAATTTAAGCTAAATTACACCAACCCAAAAGTTGATTTTTAGGTAAAATAATTTGTACATATCAAGGTTCCACATGGGGGAAAATTAAAAATGAATTTATTCTTAATTTTGCTGATAATCTGGAGGCTAGTTTATGAAAAAAAAAGTCAGTTCAAGCACTAAAAACCTACATCAGTTGTAAAATAATTGAGTACCTATAAAGTAAAAATAGTCTTGTAAAATTGAGGATTAGGGGATGTCTGGCTAAAAGCTTAATGGCAGTAACTGAAAAGGGGGCAAAAGAGAAGATCTTGTTAACCCAGTTCTTATACATTTAAAATTTGTGGAAGTAAGGCTGAGATCAGGTCTTAGGTGGGTGCAGAGGGGCTGAGGTTAGAAGGTTGATGTGTGAGTTTGTTTCCACAGTATTTTCTATAAATAACTATTTGGGATTTAATTCCTTAGAATTTTTGGCCTACAGGATTATATATTGATGAAGCTGACTTACAAAGCTGTCCAATATTCATGTTTTTCAACCAATCATAATATCACACTAAATATAATTTGCCAGAATTACCAGTGTAATTTATCCTGGAAAAACAACTTTTCTTGGAGTATCTACAAAAAGCAGAGTTTTCTATCCTTTTAGTTTGACTAAAAATCTCACTAGACTTTTAATGTTTTTAAAATGCTTTGCGTTTTCAAGCAAATGATACTTTAAATTGAAGCAGTAAATTAATATAGGCAAGCTGATTTGGATTAGCTACCCAAGAAAAGGGAGGAAATAATCAAGGGAAACAGAAACCAGATTTTATGACAAAATCAACAGATTGAAAAAACTAGTTAAAAAGGCTTCATAGGAAATACCACAGTTGATGCTTGATTTTTTTTTTAAATTAACTATATTAAAATTTAAAACCAAGACATATCCACCATCATAAAATAAAATATTGCTAATGTTGGCTTAAGTAAAAACATAATTAAGAAAGTAAATCTTGCCCAAAGCCAATTATGATATATTCCAAAGCCAGATGTCATTTTTTTCTGATTTTCTTGTGGATAATCTGATATTTTTGTACATTTTCATTAGCCTATTGGCCATATGAAGGGATGAGGTTCATGAAAGATTGGCTGGATTTAAAGAAGCAGGCTCCAGGTTTAAGAAGAGGCCATTCTCATACACAGACTAGGAAAGGGAATTTGAAATTTAATCAAATAAATGACTGAAGGAAACAGGAGTGGCTTAAAAAGAAGGATTTAAGGCAGATTACCAAAGACAGGTACAAAGAAATAATAAAAGCTTGCCAGGGGTATGATTAGTAAAGAAGGAAATGGGATACATCTTGGCATGAAAAGAAAAAGGCATGAAGGGCAAAAATACCCTCCAATACCTCAGCATCAAAAAGCAGGTAATGAAACTTCACCTCCTTCTCTTTTGGGGTTAGATATCTGATTATAGGTATCACCAAAAGTCACAAGATTTTTTATTACATAAAAATTTTAATCTTGGGGGAGGGGCATGGATATAGTAAATTTTGAGCATAAATTATAATTATATGAGAACGTAAAACTTGAAATTGCCAAAGATAAATTTAAAATAGAGGGAGACCCACTGCAATTTCAACTGAGTTATTGGAAAGGGAGGGATAGGTTATAAAAAGTTGAAACTTTAGCTTAATTGATTTAATATATAAATCAATCAGGCAGACCGTTTCTTAATGGTATACAATCTACATACATACTAAGGTGAATACCAGAAGTTGGTGACATGAGTCCCTGCCCTTAATAAGGAGAGAAGGATAATAAGAATTTTAAGGGAGGTATGTACATATGCAAAGATAAATGATCAGACAGCAGGGGAGTGTGAAATTTATGGTATAAAAGAGAAAGAGATTGGAGGATTAGGGGAGATAATCTTCATAGAGATAATAGAATTTGACCCTGGCCTTGAAAGATGGTTAACATGTGTATGGAGGAAAGGAAATTGGGGAGGTCAAAGAAGGCAGCCATTCATCCATCTCTCCATTCAGCAAACTTATTTGGATTCTTTATTATGTGCTAGACACTGTTTCAGAAACTGGGTATACAGTGGAAAATAACATGTTTTTTTGCCCTTATGGAATTTACATTCTAGTGGGAGAAGACAGAAGGTCAGTAAACAAATAAACACTATATGGAAAATGTGATGTCCATAGTGATGTGTGAAGATAATAAAATAATGATCAGCGTCAAGGAAATTATAGAGGGCTAGGCACAGTCTCACTTATTCTGCTAATAACCCATTTTGCCTATAGTAATAAATATTATTAATGGTATAACTTTAATATTTATTTGCAGTCTAAACTAATTCGAATGCAGGCCACACATTAATTAACTTCATCTTTAACCAGTTTTTTTAAAAAAATGTACATAATTTTTTTTATATTGAAGCATGCAAGTGTTGAGTTTTTAACTCTTCATTAACAGTTTATCTACAGTTTTGTTTTGTTTTTTTAAATTTGCTTCCATCTGCTAAGAATCTCATGTTTTTGCAGTGAGGTTAATATTGTTTACAATTTACTTAGGGTTGTGATGTATTGGGCCATATACTTAGGTTAAATTCTCCATTAGGAACAACAGTCACAATAGTGCCATAAAGTGAAGCTAAATTCCAAGAACATTTTGTTTTGATGGTACCTTGTGTGAGAGCACACAAAGGATGTACAGATAGTGTAAGTAAACTATTTGACTTAATTACCAGATGCGTAAAATAGGGTAAAGAATGACATCATCTGGGTCTTGTCCACATGCTACAGGAATCACATGGTAAATTTGAACTGTGTCATACTCTGTGTGCTTAATTATGTTTCATTAAAGGTTTACTGAGAGGGAAGTTAGTGGTCTCACTGGAAATACTATCTTAAACTTAGGATTTTTACTGACTTGCTACAAATAGTAGAAACCTGAAGCAAAAGTGTCAGTTCTGAAATGGGGAAGTCTGGATTCTTACTGCAGTTACCTGATTGCCAGGTTTTATTGAGAAGATGCCCTTTGCAGTGTCAGCAGAAAATTTCTTGGTGACTATTTCTTGGTTTTGGACACATTTATAAAGTACTTCTCAAGCATTCTTGAAGAAATACATTCCCTCCCTTCTCTACTCTTTTTGCAATTTTAAACTTAAAAAATTTTATAGATAAAATTGAGGTAAAGGATTCTAAAAAGTATTGGTATTTGTGTGTGTCTATAGAAATAAAACTCTTAGAAATTTTTCTCTATGCACCTAACCAGTTTTCATCTACAATAGATTCTGACGCACTTGGGTAAGCTTATGGAAAAGAAAACAATTTTCAGAGGAGGTAGGAAATTCTTTAGCATTCCCTTGATTTTCTATTAAACTAAATACTCCATTTAGAAAATAATTGTAGATATAAATGCTGGAAGTTTGTGATGTGTGATAAAAGCTAATGTGACGTATATGCTTCAGAAATATTTGGAAAGGAAGGACAGTGGAACTTAGATTTGTTTCAGTGTCTGGGTGAGAGGTGGGACAAACTGCAATTTACAGCAAAATGCACTAAAAATTGTAGTGATATATGGCAAGGTAATATGAAATATCTCGTTCCTCTTAAAATTAATGTGGAAAAACATGTACATAAGTATATGCTACTTACTGTTTGCATTGTATAAATAATAATAAAAAAAAAACTCATACCCTAGGATAGTACCTGGTTGAATTGGCTTTTGATAAGTGTTTGCTGAATAAGTTGAATTAATTCTCACAACTGTTACTTTTGATCATGGTTCCATTTTATCTGTAGCTTAGAGCATTGGTTTTTTTTTTTAGTTTTGAGTTGAAACCTGAAGGGGGTTGGTTGCCTTACAGCCTTGGGCACCTGACTTATTTGAGCAGTATGCTCGCTCTGGAACCTGGACCCTGACCTCACCTCCAGCTTGCTTGACCCTGTGGCAGACCTGACCTCATCTTTTCTGAAATGGCAGGTGGTTGTTTACTCTCAACAACTTCTCTTCCTGAGCAGCTGAGCTGTCACCAGTCTGGCCTATTTTCTACTGGGTTTCTTTTGTTATTTTTGTTTGTTGTTCGATGGGGGGAGAAGCACATTTCTCAGGAAGATAGTTCTTGAATGTTTTGTAAACTGCACATGGTATATAAAGTGTGGTATTATTTCCTCTCGTTCTAACTTTTGCTAAAAATCTTGTGTTCCTTGAAAATGAGCTGGTAAGAATGTAATTTTGATGATACAAACCAACTGAAAACTAAAACTTTTTTTTTGAGACGTTCAGGAAATTAGAACATGTAGTATAGATTAGATGGTATTTAAGAATTATAAACATAAAGTTTAACTATATATTAATAGTATTGTGGTTATGTTAAAAAATTCTCATGTGTTAAAGATACATATGGAAGTATTTATAGACAAAATGAGATCATGCCTAGTATTTGTTTTCGAAAACTTCAAGATATACACAAACTCACACAAATGGGAAATAAAACAATATTGACAAATTTTTTACTATTGTTGAAGCTGGGTGATGGGTACATTGGGGTTTGTTACTGTTTTCTGTACTTTCTGTATTTTTGGTAATATTCATAATTAGTTAAATTATATATTACCAATTAGAACTGTAGGGGAAGAAATTTAATACAGTACAATTATGTGGTTGGACATTTTGAGCAAATTAGCTAATCAAAAATCTCCACTTAGCATTTTTTTGGTAAGTTCTGCTTTTAGTAATAAATTTTTAAGAAGGGAGAATTTTGTAGAAATATGGTCACAAGAAGTGTTTAAAACTCTTAACTTTGAGAACTTGTAATAATAATATACCTGTAGTTTATAAATTGTTTTTCATATTTTGTGTTTTATCCTCAGAACAAGACATGAGTTATCCATTTTACAGATGAGGAAACTGAGATCTTAGAGACATTAAATAATTCATCCAAATCCCAAAGCAAATAAGAAGTGGTGCTAGAACTGGAGTGAGATCTTCTGATTCATTTTCAGGTGCCCATTTTCTTATATACACATATTTATAAGTGCTCTTTTGTGGTGTTATAAACCAGTGGTTTTCAAACATTTTGGAGTCAGACACCTTTGTACTCTTAAAAATTATTGAGGACCCCAAAAATGTTTTGTTTATGTGGACTATATCAATATTTAACACATTAGAAATTAAAACTGAGAAATGTTTAAAATGTTTATTCATTTAAAAATCACTCACTAAAGGTTAACATAAATAACATACTTTTATGAAAAAGGTATTCTAAAACAATACAGTGAGAAGTGTGACATTGTTTTACATTTTGCCATTCTCTTTATTGCTTAATAGAAGACAGCTGGATTTTCACAACTGCTTTTATAATCAGTCCGTTGTGATATTTTGTTTGTTTGAAGTATGTGAAGAAAACCCAGTCATATACAGATATATAGTTGAATAAGGGTAGAGTATTTTAATGTCTTTATGAAATTGTGAGTATTCTTTGTTACATCAAAACTCAAGAAGTGGTAAATTCTTAAAGATTAGTTGCAGTGTTAACTCTGAAACCATATCAGTTAATTTTTTCTTTGTTGTCACATTAAAAATCTATTGGTCCATCTTGTACTTTGAATGGATCTTTGATGGGTATGTGATTTTATAACATCATACTTGGGTCATTTGAAAAATAATGGTATATATTGAGTTATACAGATCTTTCAAATGTCGACACATTTGCTTACATAATATTTAACAAATCACGTTCATTAATTTCATCAAAAAAGTTTTTAAGGACTGGGAAGCGTTCAAGATTTTGATGTTGAGTTCAAGTTTTCCAAAATACTAATTTTTCTCAAAAGTTCAAATTTTATCATTGGCAACAGATTTTGTCAGTTTTTTCCTTGAAGTGTCAGGCTCACTTTAATCCTTTTAGAGAAAATGTCTGCCAAATACCTAAGTCTGAATAAACTATAAATTGTCTGCCAGTCATTCTTTTAAGCAAAAATGGTATTCTTTGAAAAAAGTTGCAGTTAGTTCATAGCTCAAACAATTGCATAAATGCTTTTCCTCAAGATAGCCATTGTATTAGAAGTGCTTTTTGTGTACTTCCCATTTCATCACACAGAATGTTAAAAAGACCAAGTTCTCAAAAAGTGAGATTTAATGAAATGAATAATTTTAATTTTATCAAAAACATTAAGTGAAACTGGCTTTTTAAAAGTGATGGTTAGACAATGAGAAATATAACTACTACTAGTACAATTTTGTACTCCTTCCTTAATTCATGCTAAAAGTGCCAGCATTTTGCCTACCATTGCTTTTGTACCACCAGAGCAGATACCAACATGTTTGTTTCAGGATAAATCATGAGATTGAAAAAGTTATTTATTACTTTGAGTAATTCAGCAGCACTTGTATTTGTTGCCAAGCATTCACATAAAAGAAGACCTTCTTTGATAGTTAGTTGGCGTGGATACTGGAATAATAAAAACAAAACAGTATGTCCACCCACATCTATGGATTTGTCCACTTACAAAACATAGCTACAGTTCTAAAGTGGGGATATCATAGTTCATGTTTGCGGTAAAATCTTTAATTTGATGAGATTCCGCATCATGGCATTGCCATGATTTTTTTTACTGATTTCATCCAGTAGACATTCAGCTTTGTCAACTATACAAAGCTTTATTAGTTCTCAGCTATTTTGTGTACTGCTCCAGTCCATGAAATCTGATAATTTACTCTGTATGATGCTTCAGTGGCTTTTTCATTTCTATTTTAAAGACGATCTTTTGCTTTTAAAGAGCTCATCATATCAGTGTTTAAAACATTCAGTTTCTTAAAACAGTGAATTCATTGGACGATAATGAGATTATGGAGATAATAGCAGATATAATGAAAGATTGCTATCCCTAGGAAATAGAAATACTGAGAACACACTTGAGTTAATTTCTGTAAAAAAACATATTTACATCTTAAAATTTTGCTACCTTAGAAATTTCTTGAAAACACAAAATGCAGCATGTTTTATTAGGTGCCAGAGTGATACATTACCATCACATAACATGTATCCTTTGGATTCACTGTTGTATGTTCATGAGAGAATGAAAGTGAACAAGGCAGAGATCATCTTTGTAGTACCAAAAGTAGTTTTTACATGTGGAGCCCCTGAAAAGGTCTCAGTCACCTCCCACCAGAGGTCTCTGGATCACACTTTGAAAATTATGATATAAATTAGTGTGATGTCTTAATATTTTTAGAGCAGTCTAATACAAACATCTATTTCAATAAAGTAATATTTCCATCTTAGTTGATTAATTCATGAGGAAGAAGGGAATATACTAGTGGGATGAGCTGTGTGACCCAGATACTACAATGCGTGGAAGGTCATATAACATCAGAGGGTGATAGGATAAAGGGTAGACAGAAGGGAGGACTCAGTAGTAGCACTTTACAATTTAACAAAAAGAATGAGCATTTGCCCTCTCTTTTTTTAACTAAAAAAGACTGAGCCCACAAAAATGTACATATATAGAATGTTCATATTTATATGTGTGCTCAAAATCAGGAGTACTCAGTCATTTTTTTTTCCTTGAATGACAACGGGAGAGATGCTAACTTATTTGAGAGGAGAACGGCTGCTCGCGGCAGTTTTTTGTTCCTTCCAACTAGGGAGGCTGTTGACTTCTTTTTCTGAGGAAGCTGAGGGATGACAGATGACACATGAGGTTAGAAGGAAGAAATTGTGAAAGAGTAAACATTAGTGATCATGGGAATAGATACAGGCAGAACTGGGCTGTGGACAGAGCAGAGGTAACCATTGGAGGGCCAAGAGGAGGACTGGGGTGAACTGGGGTAATCTGGGTCTCCCATGCACTGGATCTGGGAAGAGTGGGACCCGGGGAAGTACAGAGGTGGCTGTATAGGAGTCATGGAGCTGAACATATATTTGAAAGATTTCCATAAAAATACGGTTAAAATAACTGTACCAGATAGTCTGACTTTTTAATGTTTTACCATCATTCAGTTCAGTTATTATAACCAATAAGAGAAAACAGCAATGCCACGAGTTTGGTGTAGTGCTGGTAAATCTCTAAACTTTGGTTACACACATCAGTATATGACAATACTGATGGCCAGGTTTGGGAGTAGAAATTCAAGAATGAAATTTTAACACTTTATTTTTTACTAACAGACAGTTATGATTAAAGGAGACAGTTTAGTTCAAATAGATATCATTTATCAGTTTGTTATTTATATGGTACTTAATTCCAGAAAGGATTTGCGTTGGCAAAATAAAGGATCAAAGTCAATTATCAAGAACAAACATGGTTCTAACTCATGTTTTTCCCCTACTGTTTTCTTTACCGATGACATTTATGTTAATAGGGTCATATAGTTGAGATATTATAACTATAAAGTAATTAAACTAGTCTCTATTAACAATGCAGGAGAAATATAACCCTGTCACTTTAGTTGCATGCAGTATAAACAATATGTCTGTAATGGGAGTGAGATTGGGCAGGAAAATCATAGCATGCCACAGAAATTTTTTTTTTAAATTCAGGACTGCTTTCAGCTGTAGTTAACAGAAAGCCACTATCAGAAGCTTAAACCATAAGTTATTTATCTGGTTCAGAGAAATTTAGAGGTAGGTGGTCTCAGAGATGGTTCAGCTACTCAGCGGTGTCCTCAGGTTCTTACCAATCTTTGACTCTGCCATCTTTTGCATGTTCACACTGCCACCAGGTCATAAAATGGCTGCCTCAGCTTTAGGTATCACATCCCCTTTCAAGGCAAGAAGGAGGAAGGGAATAGTACAAGCAGTCCCTCCTTTGCTTGCCTAACTGAGAATAAAATCTTTCTCAAAAGCTTCCATTCGATTTTCTCTTCAGTGTCATTTGCTCGAACTGTTTTACAAAACTACCCCCACTCATGGGAGAGATTAGAGAAGTGAGTGTATTGCTGAGGGTTAGTATAACACGCATTATGTGTCATTTCCTGGGCTTAGGCACATTGCTTGCTGCCCAGGAAAAGCTGGGATTCTATTAGCAAGCTATAGGGGGAGAAATGTCAGTTGGGTAGCTGGCCGACTGTGTGTCTGTCACAAATAAGCAGAAAGGGAAGCACAAAGAGTATTAAGTAACTTTATAAAACATCTTTTCTTTAGTCCGAAGACTGTTAGGTGTTCCCCTCAAACAAGGCCATATCCATTTTCTTTCTTATTTTGGTGGAACACTATATAGACCGATAGCCCAATTAGTTGTAGGGCTAACTTACAGACAGTTAGGTCTCAGTTTTCTCAACTGTGAAATAGAATATTGTATTAGATCGTCTCTGAGATAATTTCCAGTTCTAAAACTTTTTTTCCTGTCTTTTGACCACTTCGTATTTTATTATTATTTTTTAATTAAAATATTGGACAGGATGAGAGGCTATGAAAATGTATGGTGTTGTTTAGTCATCTCGATAGCTGTGTGGTATCTCTAATAAAGATCTCGATGATATAGAAGATGAAAGCTAGATTTAGGTTTTTGCTTTTTGGCAGTTACTCATTTTACTTCTGCCTCAAATTTCCATTGAAAATGGAAAACTAATTGCATTTTTATTTTGATAGGGAAAAATACACACACATGTGTATGTAGTCTATAATCAAAATACTCTCAGTACAGTGTTCTGAGAAAATGCTTCCTTTCCCAACAGAGGAGGCATTTTAAACACTAGTTAAAAACCTGGTAGAGCACCCCCTTTTACTTGTGGACATTTGTTCTTATTAATAGTATTCACATTGCACATTTGCTTTAGATAAAATGAAAGGACAACTAAAGGAAAGTGATTCCTTGTATGCACTGTAGTAACTATACTTGAATGAGGCAGAACCTTTGATGTTTCAAGTGCCTTAAAATGGGATTTTGCTTGTGTTTCAGAGAGAGTGATGATCTGGTTCCTTATATAGAATCTTGTCAAGAGTATATGAATTTGGATATACAGTGGGCTGAAAATTATATTCCCAACTTTAACAAATTAC